AAAAAACATTAACTCCTGCAGAAGAAAGTTGGACGCGTCTCCGCTCTAACCTCGCTCCGGTCCACCCGGGTGTTTATCTGGCCTCTTTGAACTGGTTTGCACTGATAGGGAGATTAAAGACTTGTCGTGTAATGAAGGAGCGGCCCTGCAGTCTGTCATCATTACTCACTGGTGCTGTCAAGCTGCATCCACAACTCACTCACAGCGACCAGACAAACAGCCTTCACCTCCAAGACCAACACCGAGAACCTTTTTATACATTACAGTGAAATGTATCCTGCACTCCCCGGGTGTAATTTAGAGAGCTTTAGAAAAAGGAAAAAAAAAAGTGGGGGGTGAGGACAGGGAGTGGGCTGTGGTTGAAGTGTGAGTTGAAGGGAATAGAATTATTCAGTGAAGGATGAATACGTTTGTTAACATGGCAAAACATGGGTGGGGAGAGTGAAGGAATGACCGACCCTCCCAACCACCCCCACCCACAGCCAATGACCTTTGAGCAAAACTTTTGGCCTTGGATTATCGTCAGTAACAGAGAGAAAGGTGGAAAAATGTTGAGGGAAGCAAAAAAAAAAAAAAGATTTAAGAGCAAGAATGAGTCGATTCACTTTGAAACAAATGGAGCTGCAGATTAGTGTGAGAGGAACTGGACAGGTTATTAAAGTGGGCAGAGAAACTGATCATTATGTTTGTGTTTGCCTTTCCAACATTTTGTGGCCGACACTAAAAAAAAGTGCAGCGCAGTACGGGCGAACGAGAAAGTCGTTAATTCTGCAGGTATCTGGTTGTAAACCAAAGTAATAGACCAATTAAATATTTGACCTCACGTTGCTGCTGCGTGAAATATCGTGCCATCTCCGCGTTTCCTCAGAGAGACATGACTGTCTGCACTTAATGCTTAGGGCCGTGATGAAGAATTTGGGTCTGAACCACAACTATCTGCCTCACAGTGATCCAAAAGGAAAAGCCAGGGAACTCTGTAGGAATTCTGCTGTGACCTCTGGAGAGTATGTGTGGTAACGCAGGTTTAAAATAAAAAATATACATTTTGTAGCAATTTTAAGGTCTCTTTAGCAGAGCTGCTAACATAATATGGTTCCACTGTACTGCTCAACAATAAAAGACTGTGAATGAGGGGAATCACAGTCATGTGAATGTATAATTGTACTGTACTGTACTGTACTGTACTGTACTGTACTGTACTGTTGTTAAGTTGGTTTGGTTTTTGGCTGTACTCTGTCACCAACCAAAACTCCTTCAGCTCTGTTGGATCTTCTCACTTGTCGAGAGCAGTACTCTCTGCCATGATACTACAGTATGACACGTTCACTTTTTGAGGATTATTTAGTTGGTCGTACTTGTTGTTCACCCTGTATTAGATTTTACTAGGTATAAAGTTAGGATTAGTTTGAAGTGGACCATATATTGTTACCCATTTGTATTGGAATCAATCTGATATAAAACCAATGAAAATAACAATATTTGTCAAATTTAATTATTGGAATCAATCTGATATAAAACCAACGAAAATAACAATATTTGTCAAACTTTTAAAATTTAACACTTACATTCAGTCCCCACTTATGTCTCAGAGCTTTTTGAAATTCCAGCCTCGGGCTCTGTCTGGAGGTCAGCAGGTCAGAGGATGTTAGAAGTTCCAAGGACTGGTTGTCCTGACTGGTTGACAGTGGATCTGTGGAGACGCCCTGTTTACGCTGCATTCATCTAAAAAAAAAGAAAGAAGCTTTAGACACTTCTATTTAAACAGGTTAGTTAGTTCAAATGTTGTTTTGTTTTGTCTCTGTTGATGTTTTAGCCTCTTGCTAGCACTAACCTCTTTTGGCTAACATTCTTTACTGCTTTAGCTAATGCTTTATACCACTGACTAAATGTTCAGACATGCTAAGATCATTGGGACTGACACATTCATCTAACTGCATAATCCCAGTGTGTGTGTGTGTGTGTGTGTGTGTGTGTGTGTGTGTGTGTGTTGGACTTATAGGAAACATAAAACCTTCAGTGTGGACGGACAGGATATCGTGCCCCGCGGTTGAACTTCGACGCCCCATCACAGCAGCTCACACCAGTGTAACAGAAGAGCTTTCTCTGGTTACAGCCAGGACAGGCTGTTTTGACCTCTGTGGGTCGCTTGTCAGAGCAGTGAGTGACCACTGTGGGTTATCTATACTTCGCCCAGGGTGTCACAGTATCGTGTTGCTAGGAAATGGCCTATTACGGCTGTCAATCATGTGGTAACTGGGGGCGACTCCGAGGAGGACTTTGTTTAAAAAAAAACATGTCGGCAATCAGTGACTTTGTACTTTGCCGTTGTACTTTGTTCTCCACTTTGTCGTAATGGTACTGTACCTGGAGCTGCTCCACAGGAAACATCAGTGTTTCCATTACTCTCAAACAACTGGTGGTCCGGCGCCACCTATGTGTTTATAAAATAGAACAAAAAGAAGAAGAAGAGGAAGAAAAAAAGAAACTTTTCTTTTCTGATATAAAACTCTGAGTCACCGGACCACTTAAATTAGGACGCTGCTGCTTTAAGAGGACAATGCCTTGGCTGCAGAACAGAAGACTGTGAGCTGCATCAATCTGCTCTGCTTACAATCCCACTGTCCAAGTGATGACAAATTAGCAGGAAGCAAGGCACAACAAAAAGTCATCGGTCAAGTGATTGTTTTACAGTAAAAATAGCCTGTCGTACAAATCCACTGGCCACTGAAACCTTCCTGACATGAGCACTGACAAATGATCACATCTTCCTTCCATTCCAGCCCTTGAAAGTGGATTTGTTCCATAATTAGATTGACAGGGACAGATGACATCTGGTTTCAGGGGCATCGAATTTAACTTTTTGATACTGAGAAATATAATAAACCACGATAGGAAAATATAACTCTAATATTAACAATAACTCATGTGTCAGTGCATCGACAAAATAAATCAGTATCAGTAATGGACCAGTATAGAGCAGAATAATTCAACTCTGTTTCAAAATGTCATTGAACTGTAGTCCAGTGTTTCCCAAACTTTTTGTCTGGGGACCCATATTTTAAAAGTCACAAACCTTCGTGACCCAAGTCAATAGACATTATACATAAACTCCTGGGAAACATGATGTGAGCCAAAAAAACTCTTGCGACCCACCTGAGGGTTGTTTTGTTGTTTTTGTTTATTTATTTTTCCATTTTCTGTTAGCCACAGATGTGGCTGAAGAATAAAAAGAAAATGTTTTTGATATTTATCACCATTTTGGTCAGTGCAGTTTTAAGACTGGAGTGTTTGAAGTTATTATTACGTTGTTGTAAAACTTAAGTAAACGCAATAAAGTCTGCTGCAGCATCTCCGCATATTGATCACACAGCAAGTGCTACAAATATGAATTTCACAGTTTTCATATCATCTATACTTCCATAGTGAAAGTTTTAATTTTAAACCATGTGTAAATGTTCCTTATTATTTTTCATGTAATATTAATATATTCAAATAATACATAAGTTCATACATGCTTTTATTACAAACATGCAAATAAAAAAAAATCAGGACCCCCTTTGGTACTCCACGGACCTCTCAGGGGCCATGCACCTCCTATTGAAGACTTTTATCCTTGCAGTTGAATCAGGCAAGGTTTGGCTATTTATTATAGTGACCAAATCTTGCTTTATGTGTTTATATTTAAAATAATTTAATTGTTTGTTTTTTGGGTTTGAGAGTTTTTTTTTTCTTTTAGTGAAATCCTAGAGATCAATAAGGAAAATCAAAGTGAATCGTCCTGTGATGTCGTCTCAGCTTCACACCACAGAGGGAGACGAAAGTCAGATGAACCTGAGAGCAACGTAAAAAAATAAAGACAACTGGAAAATTAACATCTTCATTGTGATTTATTTAACAAAATACATCCCCCCCCCACCAGATTCCACCACAGGGCGCCCCCAAATTTTTACAAAAAAATATCACATCTCTCTCTTTTCTTTACTGACTCGTTGCCGTGAAGATGATGAAGTAAAAACAGAGGAGGAGGAGTTCAGAGGGAGATGTGATTCTGACATTCATCTGCAAGAATTGTTAAGACGTGAAAGATATTCAACATATCGTATCAGGAAAAAAAAAGCGATATTAAATAAATACAACTTCTCAGTAGGAGTGAAGAAACAGAATGGATGATGTGTGATCACACACTCAGCGTGCTCTGTTTGAGTGCACAGTCCATGCGTTTCCTCCAACGGAGACAAGACAGAGGTCGGGTCAACATCAGTTAACACTAACCCTCCTGCCAAACTGCATTTTTCTGCACTAAATCATAATCATTTGCAGCGAGAACCCCCCACCCCAGAACTTCCAACAGCTATTACACAGCGTCCAACCATTAATTTTTCGAACGTAACCTTTACGGGGGCGGTCGCGTCTGTTGCGAAAGTATCCGAGCGATGTGCAGACATGCAGGGGCCACGTGTGTCCTCTGGACTTTTGGGTGGAGTCTGAAGGCGGGAAAACAACCTCTGCGTAGAAAGAAAGAAAGTGTGGAGATGTTCTCAAGTCAAAATCCAGGACTCGTACTTTCAACTCTCGACTTCAGTTCCTCCTACATCCAGTCTGAAGTTGCAGGCAGCAGCATCTGCTGTACTTAGGTACTAACTTTGAAGTAATCTGTCGACTCTCTGGGAAGTATACTCTGAGGCAGAGAAGAAGATGAGAACGCTGACAGTTTCTGCTGCTGTTATGATTCTTCCATTGATATGAAACTGAACTGAGCTCAGTTTAGTACGACGACTGGGCTGACAGTTTACTGTAGTGCTGCGTATTTTGTTTATAAATAAAATAAATGTACTTTTAAGATTTATTTTGGTTTCTTTTTCTGGAATCTTGTGAAAGCTTGGGAAAAACCGTATTGATCTCAAAATATTTGTTTTGAGATCGATGAGAAAATGAGTGTTTGTAATGTGGAACTCTATATTACAGTGCAAACGTTTTAGGCTAGTGTGTACTTTATATTGCCTCTTACTTAGGTACACAGGGGTATACAAGTACTATAATCAAACAGAGAGACACTGAAGTTCTTAACCACAGAGAAAACATCTGGGTCGTGGGCCATGGATGCGGCGGATCTCTCAGCAGTGCAGCCAGGCTGGAAGGACTAATAGCGACTGATGACTTAATATTATAATTAAGTGGCCCTAAATGACCCAGAAGAGCTGGGAAAAAATAGTCTCTACATTATTTTGTTACTTATACTTGAAAAAAATTTCTGCAAAATCAAGAAGAATATAATAAATGTATACAGTTGCCTAAAACATTTGCACTCTTCTGTATATGGTAAAAAATCTCTCAATTCAAAATTTTTTATCAGCATTAAATATGAGAAACGTTGTAGTTTTTTTCATCCAAAAAAATTGAATGAGAAAATTAATGTTAGTTTTTCAAGAGCTGATTTTGTTACCTCGTACCAAAGTACTGCTAACTGTGTCCAGTCTGTTGACATTAGCCTTCACTTCACTGGTACAGCAGCAGAGGCAGCGTTCTCAGTGTTTTTCCCACCAGAAAGACTGAGAGCAGGTTTCCCAAACGGTCAAACTTTTTAAAATAAGTCCATGTGACATCACTGGTATCCCAGCGCGGACGCAGATCCGAGTCTCTGACCGTAAAGGGCGTAGTGAGGGTAGTAGGGGCCTGTGGTGGGCAGAGAGTGCAGAGAGAGGGAGGGGGGAGCAGGGGGCAGATGGACTTTACTGTAGGGGTGATAGCGAGTTAAGCCCAGACTGGGAGGAGCCCTGAGAGAGAGGGAGCTGGGCATGGAGCCTGGACTGCTCTGCTGCGGGAGGTGAAGGTGGCAGGAAGCAGGTCCAGAGGAGGAAACAGAGAGCAGCTTACTGTCCATCCCCACAGGCAGGGCGGTGTGTGTGCGGAGGTGGGCCAGGAGCTCCTCCGACGTGGCAAAGCGTTTGTCGCAGGGCCCCCCGGCCGAGACCCAGTTACATGCGTGAGGCATGGGGTCGTTTGGAAGCATGAAGCCATATGTGTAGAGGGGATGGGAGAGGGAGGAGGAGGCGTTAGATGACAGGGAGCTTTGGTGCAGGGAGTGCAGCGGGTGGGAGGGATACACCAGGGGGAAGCTGGACTTGAGGCTGGATGAAGGGTCGTGGATGCAGGAGTTGCAGTTGCTTCCGCCCAGGTGGGACACACCGGGGTAGCTAAGACAGTACGGGTCCCTGCATAAACTCTGCATCAGCGAGGGAGGGGAGGCGCCGGTGAGAGGGCTGGAGCTCGGATGCTTCCCCGGCATGGCCATACTTCCGAGGCTGGACTTCGTCGGGTCCAGTCCGGGAACAAACTGAGACGGGTAGCCCGCGTAGCCCCCCACCACAGATCCGTGATAGCCCATGTTGGACGATGGCAGGGAAAAGAGTGGTTGGCTTGTCTTGTAAGGGGAAATGGGAGTAATGTGTCCGGAGAGGAGGCTGGGTTGGGCGGCCTCTCCTTTCCCACCCTCATGGTTGGACCCACTGTCAGAGCTGCCGTTGCTGCAGTTTGTACTGGCTCGGACATGGCTGGAGTTTGCTGCGTGGTGAGGACTTTCTGAGGTGCCCTTGTTCACATCAGCATCTTTTTTGCTGCTGCTGCTGGTGCTGGTGGGACTGCCCCGCTCATGAGCAGCTTCTCCACTGGGAGTCTGGCAGTGTGACGTGGGCTGCCCGCTCGGCGACTGGCTCTGTTTGTGGCTCGCCGGCTGCTGGTGCTGAGTGTGCCCCGGTGGGGAGCCACTGTTGGCTCTGGTGCTGGGGGAGGCAGGGTGGGGCGGGTAGGACTGCTGACCACTGCTAGAACTTCCATTAGTGGTAGCATTATTGCTGGGCACTCTGAAGCCGACTTTATCACTGCTGCTGGTGACTCCGTCTTTACGACTGTCCCCGCTGCCTTTGTTGTAGGGTTTGAAGCTGGATTTATCCTCCAGAGAGGGACGGTGCTCCCCCAGCTTCAGGATGGAGATGGATGACCGACTGCTGGACTCCTTGTCCCCCTGGCTGGAGCTAAGCTTGGACGAAGATGGAGTGTCTGGTTTACCAATCTGAGAACAGGTCTGCGCCAGCAGGGCCAGAGGGCTCTTCTTAGCATCCAGCTACAACAAAACACAGATCTGATTAGCGTTTGGTTTGTTTTTAATACAATTACAATCTTCCCTGAGGTGAATTCACTGAAATAAATAAAATCACCTCATTGGTTCAAATGCTAACTGACATTAACAAGGACGGCATATATGGTTTTTTTGTTTCATATATTTAATTTATTTAATGACTAAATGTAACTGAACAATTCAGACAAAAACTAAAAATGACCAATATCGTAGAAGCGAAATACCTGATTCACTGAAAAAAAACATCAAAACATGTTTAGAGAAGAAAATAATCACCACAACAACAAGTATCATTAACACAGAAATTATGATGAATATTATAAAAAATAGCCTAATAAATAACAAGATAACCACAAACAAGTGTTAAAGTCAACATCTGATTCCTGTATTTTACATCTATAGATAAGTATAAAAAACACTTTTGAAGACATTGGGAGATTTTTCATTCCTCTTAGTGCGGACAAAAAAAAAAAAAAAAAGATTAGCACAGTAACGTGGCGTTGTTTTGAGCTCCTCTACTCCATTTAAACCAAAATTCGATAATCACACGAGCAAAAACACTTTTAATTAAAGCGTAAAAACACGGTAACTCTACATGACGTCGTATTTAAACACTTTTTAAAAGAGTATTCGGGTTAAAAAATGTAGGTCAGAGATATTTTTCTTGTCCCTATAGTTGTCTTTTACGTATTCGCGGTCCTTCATTAAACCGAATTCTTCAAAACGACACAAACGGACGTTCTTCGTCCTCTTTTGCACACTCAGCACGCTGCAAATGACTCTAGAGTCTAGGACGATGCGTAACAAAGATAAAAAAGCGTTGAAAAAAAAAAAACAGAACAGAGAGTCAAAGTCAGTACATACCTCGATGCTGACTGGGGAGGACGTCAGGGGCTGTAAATATTCCGGGTGCAGCAAGTGTCCAGTGTGCGCAGTCAACATCTTGATGACTCGGATAGGGAGACGCTTTGCCTGACGAAGTGGGTCCAGAGGGGTCAACACAGAGACCAGGGGTCCGGGACCGGGGTTTTTACTGTCTGGAATCGCACTCGACACAATCCGCTCTCTGACACGATCAACAGCTGAGCCCGAGGGGAGATATTTCATTGGAGAGAAGAAGGCGCAGCGCTCTGAGTGCGTGGTGGTGCGTTAACTTGTTCCAAAATGTTGTGCTAGTGTTTCTGTTGTAATCCATGCAGGTACCAAACAACAGCGGGGTGTCCTTAAATGTCCCGCAGGATGAAGAAGCCTCTCAGTTCCGCTGCATTAAAGTCTCTCCCATTTTTTTTATTATTCTTTTTATAAGAAAAAATATTTAAACCAATAAACAAGGAGGAAAATAAAAATCCACGGCGTGAGAGCAGCGGGTAAGAACAGTCTGTAAGATGCGAAACAGAGTCCGGAATGTTCGGCAGCGGATGTCCCTGCAGTGCGTGTCTTCTGTCCGGACTTCAACAGCTCACTGATCACACCACACACTCACTTCAAAGTGAACCACTGGCTCCGTGAGCAGGGTGGAAGCGTCACTAATGAGGTGGGCGGGGCTAAAGGACGTGCGTAAAGGCACACAGGACGCGCGTCCTCAGCTCTAAAATACCTGCTACTCTCGCATATTTACTGTAGTGTTTTATAAGATCAGTGGAAAACACTCTCTACTTTCTGCTGATGAGGCATTTGGAAAAAATACATTTGTCAGAAACATTAGACTGCACCCAGATGTACGGTCTGGGTATAAAAACCCGTTTAATGTCACCTATGTGGCCAACAGGGGGCAGCAGAAGAATCTATTTAGGAGACTGACGTTCACTGATAATTTATTTACATTCTGATGAAATGACACTGTAACGTCACAGATGACGAAGAAAAAAGAAGAAGGAAATGGTTTGGAGGCGAATCTTGACAAAGGATGAGTCAACAAAAAATGTGACGGTTTATATTTCAAAATGCCGGAAAATGAGCTGTGATCACCAACTGTATATGAAGCAGAAATGTGTGTTTAATGATGTTGTGTTGTTGTTGTATGATGTTACTTTGCATTTAAAATGGATCTTTTATTCATGTTCACGTGTATTTATGTAGAGCTGTCAAAATGAAAGCATTATTGTGTTCGTCAAGGAAAAATGTCAAGAAAAATAAGTAGGGAGTAGAACACACATTGTTGAAAGTTGCTTTCAAAACATGAGGGCCTTGTCCTCAACAGTATTAATTGGTCTTTAGGTCTTTGAAATCCATTTGACGACTCATGCTGGGTGTTGAGATGGTATTTAAGGCCTGAAGTCGTGTAGTGAAACAATGACATTTTACCACAGTAGCAACATGTGCATCGACTGTGTAATAAAGAAATGATGAGGTGAAACTATTAGATATACATTTTGGCTATGTCTTGAAATGTGGTACAAAATTTGATCAGATTAATTTTCACAAATAAATTACCGTAATTAAGGAATTAATTTCCAGAAGCCTTAAATAGCACTTGCATTAATTTACTTTCAACACAGTGCATGCACTTTAATAAAATAAATATTGTTTCTTTTTTTGCATATGATAACAAAAATCTAACCTGGTTTATTGGGGAGGTGAGGTGTGTGTGACCCACTTTACTTCACATACAGTACAGCTGTTCCCACAGTTATAATGAGAGGGCTGTTCTCTCAGTAACCTGTAAAGTGACAGAACAAAGGGGAAACACCGTAAAGGTAGCTGACAGACGCACAGGCAGGACGAGTCACATGATTATTTTTAAAGCGTCTACACTTCATAAACCTGTTTGCGAAGGTGTCACAAAGCACAGTATCAGCAACGTGTCGGCTCAGCATCTTGTGGAGTCATCACAAATCAGGCAGGTTTTCACATGCTGCTGTCAGGCTGTCATTTTGACTCAAAGCTTTTATAAAAAATCGGAACGCTGCTGCGGGGGAAATGTATTTTCAAAGGCTAAAGAGACGTATCGCCTCTTTATTAACAGTTTTCTTTAAACACTCGCCCGACAAAAGTGCAAGCATGCTTTTAAATTGACATGAAAAGGTGATGAATCATTTGTCTTGTGGATTTCGCTCAGAGCACACACACACACATCAACAGGACGGCGAACTTGTCACGTTGTTCTTTTTGCTTTCTTACATAATAAATGCCATTTTCATGTGGAAAAAAAAAGACACAGAGCTCCATCACGCCGGGATAATGGCTCTTTAAATCTGGAATGTTAACTTTATTGCATTAACTCCTGCTGACTGACTTTGCAGCGAGCTAATTTTGCTAACCTAATTATACAAAGAATTTGTTAAAGTACTTAAAAATTATGGCTGACAAGGTCTATTAGCTACAGCCAAAAATAGTCAGAGAGCGAGGAGCCTTGAATTTCAGAATCTTTTGTACCCTCAGCTGAGTGAAAAATCTGCCCTAATCCCTCAATGCTGATGAATGAGCTCATGAATATTTCTACATGTCGTCCAGGAGCGCTAATCTTCCAAAGCAATAGTTTACTACTAAATCGAATGAACGGACAAGGAAATAAGCAATATCCTAAACCACATGTTCCCCGTGTAAAATGGTATTTTAATTATTCTTTTTTTAAATCCTCTCAGGTCTGATTTGAAATCCGTCAATGTAAAAAAAAACAAACCCAGAACAACATTTGGTTAAAGTAACTGTCGCTGTGACCGGCTGCCCTGAACAGCAGTGGAGCTGCTCACAGTCATCCATCAATGTCCCATTTGTGATAAGAAGCTAAGAGTAGGAGCGCCATCTCATCAGGAAACAAGGTCACAGTCTGCGCCACTGTGGAGGAGACGGCACTGGAGTGTTTGCAGGAGCAGCACTTGGACTAATCAAGCACTTGGTATACTGCAGTACATTAACTGCTGGCAAATACAGGTGCAGATGTAGCCGTGCATTAACTATTTTAACAGTGCAACGAGTCGATACGTCTGTTCAGGGAAATCACTACGGTATTTACCTGCTTTTCTCTACTCTGTCATGAAGATGTACGGTCAGTACGACAAAGGGTCACCACAAGGCTGTTGGGTAATTTGTCCCAGGATGAAAAAAACCCATCTTGTTATATCTACAGTTATTAATACTACAGTAGAAGAACACCCTCACAGAATAAGCACGTTCACAAAATAAATCTCCTCAGACTCATAGAAAGTACTATAGTAAAATAGACCCAGTAGGTGGCAGCACTGCAACTCACAGGATTCAGTTCCGCAGGTAAAGCCCAAAGAATAAGATGAGAGTGTTAGCAGGGTTAGCTTGGCATAGCCATCATAGCCATGATGGAGAATGACTTACTATCACACTGCCCACATGCTGCTAACATGCAAATACTCTTGCCCTGCTAGCAAGCTGTTTGTTTGCTAGATGCTAGCAGACTGATAAAACACTAGATGCAGATGTAGATGGTTTTTAAATTTAAAAATAAAATACATAAGTTTACGTGTTGATGCAGATGTAGATGGTTTTTAAATTTCTGGTAAAAAATAAAATACATACGTTTACGTGTATGAGACAAGGATTTCAAATGTGTACGTTGACTTCCCACACGTTAGAAAAGAGGCGCTACATGCTCAATGCTAATAAACACTACATACCACTAGCTCTACAATGTACTCAAAAAGTGGCAATTAAGTTGTATTCTAGATGTTCCTTTTTCCACATATTTTTCTCCACTATATTTTTACTGCATCATTTGCTGACCAGGCCAAATGTTGGGAGTTGTAATACATGCATTATATTTTTGGTAATCAGCCCTTACTGTGACAGACTGGATAACAATTCCTATCCATTATTATGAATTAGTACCAATCAAATGTCACAAACCTTGTTCTACAAAATAAATAATCAGACCAAATCAAAACGTGTTGACTCAACTCCTTCTTCATCTATACAACTGGGAAACACAGTAACCACAGTTCCTAGGCACAGACTGTGTTGAGTGTCACCTGGGAGTCTGGTGTTTTTTTCACCGCTGGTTTGGTTAATGAACGTTGAACATCTAGACACCAACCGAAGCCGGAATTTTTACCCCCAATTCTATTCAAAGTAACACTGTAAGTGTGTGTGTCTGTGTGTGCGTGAGCTGTTCCAGGAAAGAAGTGAAGGTCACACCAAACATTATGGATCTGTTATATGGAATTTCTCATGGACTGACTGGAAATTGGGTGTTTACAAGCAGTGACAGGGTTTTTGTGACTGATTATTGTTTCCTGTTGTTGCCTAATTTGAGACTGACATCTTCTCGTGCCGCCTTCACACACAACATAAATCAGCCACACAGAGAGCCGTGAGACGACGGAACCCTTTTGAACACACCCAAATTATGACAGCTTAATAACAGTGGTGTTTATAGTGCAGCAAGAGGCGGCAGTGTGACGTACGTATCGGTTACATTCGCTCTTTTATTTCAAAAGCAGCTCGAACGTTTTTTCCAGCTGTTTCCCCGACACCTAGAACAAACAAACACTTTGAACCGCTTTTCTCAGTGTCGTTCGTGAGCAGAGATCATTAACGTTTTAACAAACTCCCAAGTAATACTTTACACAATGGTCCACGTCTCATATTTGGCTGCATTCCTCTCAGGTCTCCCCAAAACACCAAAACTTCATTACCTTTAATACTACAACTTCATTAGACAACTCCATTCTTGTGATCATAGTACTTTTTCTTGTAATTAAACTGATGTTTTCTACCGTGTCATACAGCCTCCTTTCACATGTTTAGCTCACATGCTGCAAAAAGGTGGCTCGCGGGCCAGATGTGAGCTCAGGGCTAAAAGTCTAGGTTGACCTTAGATATATACGTGGACTTGAATAGTTGTCCCAACAGTTGTCAGGTGGCTGTGATCGATCAAAAAGTCAATAAAAGCTGACACCAATTAAAAAGCCGGGTTTTGTTCTACCTTGAAATAAAGTCAGGTTCAGTTCAGTTGAGCGTTGAGTCCGACATAGAGCAGATATGTCTGAGTTAATTATACTGCATATTATGTACTTTAGTTGTGGACAAAAATTTTAGATCAACGTCTTATTAAAGTACCATCTAAAGTGCGTTAAACCTGTCTTTAAATGACTGTAAACTCAATCTTTTATCGTGAGTCTGTCACTAAAATAAAGGCAGCGTGCTGATAAATAGGAGACTCGAAACCAAAAGTACTGTACTGTAAGTCACTTGTTGATGCGACAGTGAAAAGCCCATTGTCGTCCTCTATTGACTGAAATCAAGGATCCATTACTCAACAGCAAAATGAGCCAGTGTTATCACTGCACAGACTGTGCACTAAATGAGCCAGTGTTATCACTGCACAGAGAAGCTGGACTGTTTGCAAACTTAATACTGAACCACCCTGAAATATATCCAGACCGACGTTTGTTTTTATTCTTCCTGTTGTGAGAGAATTACTCTTTGCTTCTCACTCTTCCAGGTATTTTACAGACCCTGTGGCCCTGCTGCTGAACTGTGGTGAGCAAACTGATTGTGACTGCAAAGCCCTGGAGGCGCTAAACAAACCTTTTCACCGCTCCCTGTGGCCTTCACTTCACAAGATAGCTTAGCAATCATTTATTTACCATTGATCTGCCACATATTCACATGCACTGGTCAGAGCTTTTACCAAAGATTTATCCAAGCTCTGAAGAAGGGTATGCAAAAGCATCAAGTAAATAAACAATAGATTTAATGTAAGGTTAAGGTTAAAGGTCATGTGCAATCTCTTTGATTAAGACAGTCTTGTTCCATCATTCTGACAAATATTGTAAAAATTAGTCCCTAGTTTTCGTTGTCATGTAGGCCTGTATGCAGATGATGGCTTTGTTTACAAACACTCGCTTTCCTTTGTTGGATTTTGGGAAGTTTTCGCCCTTCATTATGGCTCTCAGGTGTAAGTCAGACGTGTCTGATGTTTTTATGTCTTTCATTATGATGTCGCCACTGTGTTAGCGTGAGTGAGTGACGTACTTTCTGTAAGTCCCGACATATGGCAAAAATCGAGTTGGGTTGATACAGAACTCCAACGTAAGTCGAGGACCTCCCATACAGTGTTATGAATCTTGTAATAGTAACACTGAAGGAGGAACGAGGGTCATTTCATAAGGTTTTTGAAATGAAACGATGTCAGGAAAATATATTTAACTGCAGAAAAAAATGCGATTGTCGACAGTATTTTCTTACATTAATCAATACAATACACATTATATGGTGAAGAAACATTATTACAAATATGTTAAATTCTAGACCAATGATAAAGCAGGAAAGTCATTCTAAAGACTCACTACAGGTGCTTCATTGACAGGATGTTGAAATATTAACCAAGAACAACATCGTTTAAATATCAGCTATATTTCAGTATAGTTCAGAGTGTCTACCTGGTGTGTGTGTGTGTGTGTGTGTGTGTAAGTGCTCTCCCTGCAGGC